ATTAAAAATTCACCTCTGTCTCTCACTCTCTCTCTCTCGGATGAAAAAAAGGCTGTTTGACGGAGAATTAAATTACCCATCAATTAACCCTCTTTCATCCCTTAATCTCTGTAAAAAATGGAAGAAACTGTCATGAAAATCACAGCGCAGTAAGAAAAATAATTGTTTTGCGGCGCACAGTGACTCCCGGTAATTAAAAATTCACCTCTCCCCTCCTAATTGAGATTAAGGGATGAAAAAAGGGCAGTTCGACGGAGAATTAAATTCCCCATCAATTAACCCTCTTTCATCCCTTAATCTCTGTAACAAAAAAATATAAACTGCCATGAAAGTCATGGGCCAGTGAGAAAAATAATAGTTTCGCGGCGCACAGTGACTCCCGGTAATTAAAAATTCACCTCTCCCCTCCTAATTGAGATTAAGGGATGAAAAAAGGGCAATTCGACGGAGAATTAAATTCCCCATCAATTAACCCTCTTTCATCCCTTAATCTCTGTAACAAAAAAATATAAACTGCCATGAAAGTCATGGGCCAGTGAGAAAAATAATAGTTTCGCGGCGCACAGTGACTCCCGGTAATTAAAAATTCACCTCTCCCCTCCTAATTGAGATTAAGGGATGAAGAAAGGGCAGTTGATGAGGAATTTAATTCTCAGTCGAACAAGCTCTTTTTCATCCCTTAATGTCAATTAGGAAAGGAGAAGTGAATTTTTAATTCGGGAGCGAAAGGTGAAAAGTCACTGTGCGCCGAGAAGAAAATTATTTTTCTCACTGACCCATGATATTTGTCGTAGTTTGTATTTTTTAGCTACAGAGATTAAGGGATGCAACGGGGATCGATTGATGGGGAATTGAATTGTCTCTCGAACTGCCCTTTTTTCATCCCTTAATCTCAATTAGGAGGGGATCGGTGAATTTTTAATTACCGGGAGTCGCTGTGCACAGCAAAACAATCATCTTTCTCACTGGCCCGTGAGTTTCATGGCAGTTTATATTTTTTTATTGCAGAGATTAAGCCGTGAAAGAGGTTTAATTGATGGGGAATTTAATTCTTCATCGAACTGCTATTTTTTCATCCCTTAATCTTAATTAGGAGGGAAGAAGTGAATTTTTAATTACCGGGAGTCACTGTACGCCGTGAAACTATTATTTTCCTCACTGGCCCCTGAAGTTCTTGGAAGTTTATATTTTTATGTTACAGAGATTAAGGGCTGAAATAGGGTTAATTAATGGAGAATTTAATTCTCCCTCGAACCGGCCTTTTTTCATTCCTTAATCTCAATTAGGAGGGGAGAGGTGAATTTTTAATTACCGGGAGTCACTGTGCGCCGCGAAACTATTATTTTTCTCACTGGCCCATGACTTTCATGGTAGTTTATATTTTTTTGTTACAGAGATTAAGGGATGAAAGAGGGTTAGTTGTTGGGGAATTTAATTCTCAGTCAAACTGCCCTTTTTTTATCCCTTAATCACAATTAGGAGGGGAGAGGTGAATTTTTAATTCGGGGGCGAATGGTGAAAAGTCAGTGTGCGCTGCAAAACAATCATT